TTTTTGTACTACCTGAACGTGGTGACAGTTGCCTGGGTCAAAAGTGCAACAAATGAAATAAACCAAGGGGGCGCCCTGGAGTGCCCAGGCGAGATCAAGTGCAAAGAAAAGGTAGGCAGTGGAGATGCCAGGCACGCAGACAGGCCGCTCCATCCCCCGCCTGCCCACTGTACCCAGAAGGAGGGAAGTTCTGTGAGCCCTGGAAGGTCCACTCCCTGCAGGTACCACGAGCCGGGCCCAAGGCTCTAGGCACCTCAGCCTGGCCCTTCACATGGCACAGTGGGCACAACCTCTCCTCCACGCAGCGGCTGGAGGCCCCAGCTGGCAGCACCAGGGAGCGATTCCTCCACTACAAGGACACTGCAAGAAGGAACCTGGGAAGGGGTCTGAAATGATGTCTCAGAGCCCCTGCGGAGGCTGTTGGGGGGGACCCTGCATCCTTTCAGGAAAGGTAGAAGCCACAGCTGCTGCAATGGGAAAGCCAGGATGCATCAGGCCACTGATCAGCCACCTCTGCCAGGTACAAGCCTCATGCCCTCGGGCAGGTCACTCCATGTTGGGGACTGTCACTTCGCCTGTGAAATATAAATATCACACAATCCCTGGGAAGCTGTAAGGATCACGGACACTTTCCATGAAAATACTCAAATCCCTGCCTTTATCCCTAGAAATAACCAGGACCTTCTGCCAATCTTCCCCCTAAATGTCAGTGGGTCTTTTTTTTTTTTTTAATACCAGGAATCGATCTTAGGACCTGGTGCTTGCCAGGCAGGCGCTTGTGCCGCTGAGCTGTATCCCCGGCCCCCATCAATGGATCTTGAAGGTGCAAGGTATCATGGGCTGATCTGTGTCCCCGCTAAGATAAACACTGAAGTCCTAACCCCCGGAACCTGTGAATTTCTGCCTATGTGGAAATGGGGTCTCTATGGCATGGTGAGGTGGATGAGGTCACCCTGGAGGAGGGCGACCCTAAGTCCATTCTGCACCCTTTCCAGCAGCATAAGCAGGAAGGGGAGAGGATGTGAAGCCACGTGCATGGGAACAAGACGGCCACGGGGCCAGGGAGGCAGAGCCCAGGGCTGGAGAGAGGCACGTGTCTCCCTCCGAGGAAGGAAGAAGCCAGCCCTGCCACACCCTGGCTGTGGACTTCTGCTCTCAGGGACCCTGAGACAGTAAGTTTCTGTTGTTCTGAGCCACCCAGTCTGTAGCACTTTGTTACAGCTGCCCCAGGAAAGGGGCAGGGAAGGTCGCTTGGTTTTCCCCTCTGCACGGCGCTCGAATCTTCCTCCCCAGGGTCAGCCAGCAACCGACGCTGCATCTCCAGGAAAAGAAAGCCAGTTTCGCACCTACCGAAGCAGTGGCTCCCCCCATCTTGAAACGGTCTCACCATCAGAAGCAGCATGTCTTCCACAAACATCTACTGAGCGCCCACTATATGCTGAGCACTGCCTTAGGCACTGCTGGTGCCCAGCACACAGAGAACAGATAATAAAAGCACTCTCAATAAGCAAGGGCAATTCTGATGCAGTTACGAAGACAAATGCAATGTGTGTGAGTGGACTGGCACCGGAGGAAAAGGACCTAACTTTGATTGTTCGGGAAGGTCTCATGGAACATGTGGTATGGCAGCAGTGCTATGGCCTGTGTTTAGATGTCCCCCAAAGCCTCATATGGTCATAGGTGGGGGCTTTTCAGAGGTGGCTGGATCTAAAATTGATTCATGATACAATGCTAGGCTCAAGGGCACTAGGATCAAGGGTGCAATCTGCCCTGAGTAGTCTGGATAAGATAAAGGGCGCAGAAAGGTGCTGTTAAGGCCCCTTGTTGCTTTTGCGACCTTGTGGGGGCCATGAACTGTCTCCTCTTCAATGACCCACTACCAAGCCACCCTGCCCTGGAGACAGCCAATTATGGACTGAAGCCTCTACAAACTGTGCATTAAATAAACCTTTCCCTTTAACTTTGGGTGTTGGGTATTTTGCCTCAGCAACAAGAGAAATAAGACAGGCAGTAACCTGGATGGTAGAGAAGTGGCCATGGGAATAGGCAGAAGGACCAGCTGGGGCAAAGGCCCCAGGGTAGACTGAGCTAGGCCTAGAAAGAAGCAGGGCCTTTGCAAGTGAGAGCAGTAAGTGCCAGCTGGAGGACAGGTGAGGTCAGTCAGCAGCACCTGCAGAGTCACGTAGTGGATCAAGCGAAGACACCTGAACTCCAGCCCAACCACACTGAGAGGGCCTGGTGGCAGGTCCTAGGATCCCAGCACTCGGGAGCTGAGCCAAGAGGACTGCTGAGAGTTCGAGGACTATATAGTGAGACCCTGTCGCCTACACCAAGGATATGGAGAAGCTGTGTGGGAAACAGTCTCAACTCAGGACTTTCTAACTATGTTTGTCCTGATCTACAACAGGCCTGAGCATTCTATAATCCTGGTACTGAGATTCTCTCCCTCCTTGGCCCTCATCCAGTCACCGCCAGAGCAGGTACAGTAAATACCCTTGCTCTTCTCCTATGACCTTCATTAAACAGTGCTGTCCAGAAAAGAACATGATATCCTAGGCATGGAGAAGCCAGGAGATCTCATCCAGACCTCTGACTCTGCCCAGGGCCGCTCTGTCACTCTGCCTTGTACTGCCAACCTGCTGAAACACACACCAGGCAGCCTCCTGAGGCCCTGACAGCGCTGCCCAGGTCCAGAGGGTGGGGCAGAACCTTGTTCATCTCTGAGCACACCTGTGCCTTGGGGCGTGGTGGCAGGGGGTGCCAGCCTGATCCACACAGTGCCACGTATAAAGCCCTGATTACAGCAAACACGACTCCTGGGCAGTGCCTTGAGTTTTGCAACATTCCTCTTCCGGAATGGCCTTGTTCTCTTACACCACATGCCTGAAGACACCTGCCTGATTTGGAAATGCCAGCTCTTGAGCAAAGACACGCTCTGCAATAGCACTTCCTACTAGATTGCCCAAAGCCTATAAACAAATCTGAGTTGGTGTGTGGGCTAAGGAAGCAGGAGGGTGAGCCACGCTGGCCGGCCAGGCTGGCTCAAGCAGCGGCCGGAATGGGGGAGGCCGTGGGGAAGGACCAGGGCCCCGGGTGGGAGGGATAGCTCACCCAGATCCACCTCTGTCTCCCCTGGGTGAGGGGCTGCGACATCTGGCATCAGCAGCTGGATTAACCCTTGGCTTTGTGATTCAGGGACAACACTGCCTGACACTCCCCAGTTCAGGATGAAGACAAGTTAAGGGGGGGCAGATGTGCAGCATCTGGTAAGGTGTAAGGCTCAGGCCATCACGGCACGGGGGCTTCACTGCTCCCTTCCTGGCGGAGACTTATGTCCTAAGACTTTCTGCTTTCCATGTTTCTTTTAACCTGATTGCTTCCCTTTTGTGGAAGTAAAGATGGAGATGAGGGAGAGAGAAAGGGAGAAAGAGAAGGAAAGGAGTGGGGGAACTGAAGTAGGCATGCAGCAGGACCCCCGAAAGCAGCTTTCTTAGTGCCATCTGGGGTTCCTATAAAGCAATCACCTTTGTAAAAACAAAGTTATTGTCATAAGGACAGAAACATAGCTACTGTCTGTGCAGCAGCTTCTCCTTCACAACCCTGTCACAAACTCCCAGGGCTTGTGACTTATCCACCTCACTGGAGGGCTTCTCAGTGGCCTTGGCTAAGACACCCTCGAATAACACACGCACACATTTGGAGGAAGCAGTGCTGCCATCCTAAAGACAAACTCGGTAAGGAGCGTCAGAGCAAAACCACAGACTAGAAGCCCTGTGCCGTCACTAATGATGGCCCGAGCCCGAGTCCAAGCCGGAGCCCAAGCCCGAGAGCCCCTCCGCTCTTGGACGGAAAAAGAAACCCTCAGGAGTCAACTTTTTCACTGAGCTGATTCGAATAGCCTATCACCCGAGCTTCAAAGCTGTGAGCAGTCCTATGTCTGAACAAAGTGGGAATTAAAGCGACAGCCGCAGGGAGACACTGGACCACAGGGAACGGTGCTTCCCCACGGAGGGACAGGGAGGATGGAAAGAATGCTCACAGCCAACACCCGCCCTATGCAGTGTTAAGCGTCTCTGCTGTCCTGCTTTGGGTTTAGGGCAGCTGCTGCTTCCAATCAGATGGATCTGAACAGTGGCTTCAGGTTACAGGGCTGGATGACACGGCTGGAATGGGGTCCCGACAGCTGTCAGCCCGCACGGACACTGACCCACCGAGAGCCACCACCACACTGGCCTCACCCGTACCTGCTCCTTCGGCAGCTTAGCACTCCTGTCCAGAGAAACTTGCGGGAAGAGGAGCTGGCACGGTCTACTTCCTCTTCCCCTTTCCATCTTCCCACGCCCAGACCCCCAGCGCCCCAGCAAACTCAGAGCCAGCAGTAGGGTCCTGTGACCCGCCCCTGAGAACCAGGAGCTGCACACCCTTCAGTCTCCAGAGCCCAAAGGGGAGCTCCCAAGCCGCATCCACACTGCTGTGCCCTCCAGCCTGTGCCCGCTGGCCATCGGGAGCAGAGGGGCGTGTGTGAGAGCACAGGCGTTGCGGCCGGGGTGGCCGGGGGCCAGAGCCCCTGTCCTCAGCCCTTCCTCTGTCAGCCCCTGCTCTGCTGCCACGCACCAGCTCCCGTTCCCGAGTCGGGGTGTCTTCTGCCCAGGACACACCAATGTGTCGCGGAATCCCTGGGCGACAGCATCTGCCCGCACCAGCCCGGGACAGCTCGCGCGGACAGCCCCGAGCACGGCCGGGTCCCTGCGCCATGCCTGAGCCCCACCCCACGAAGACCCGCGCACCTGCCACCCATAACCCTTCCTCCACCCCCTGTACCCACCACCCCGCAGAGCACCGCGGCCCGTGCCCCTGAGGCGCTGCCATCTGTCACCCTTCGCAGATCCCCCGCGCCGCCCCGAGATGCAGTCCCCGTCCCGCAGCCCCAGGGTGTCACCCCCGGGGCATCCCCTCGCGAGGGCGGCAGAGCAGACCCAGCAGGCCCTCGGCCCTCTCACCGCGGCGGCGTCCGTCAGGCGGGAGACCTGGCAGCCGGCGACACCGTCCGATCTGCAGCTGCGGCGACTGCGCCGCTCACGAGCAGCCGGGTCCTTGCTAGGCGCTGCGGCCCGAGCCGTCAGTCAGCGGGCGCGCCCGCCCCTCCGGTGTGCGCACGCGCAGACACGCCCAGTAGCGTCACGTGACAGCGGCACCCGCAGTTGGCCCTGCCCCACCCGGCCGGTAGGGTCTGTGCGCCCGGGCGCGGGGCGTGCCCTGCGAGCGTCCGGCCTTAGAGCAAGCGCACGAGCGGCCCCCTAGAGACCTCACTGGGGGAGAACTCGGGGAGAAAGCCCGCATGGAGCCAGGACTGGGGATCCAGTTGCTTTCAGGCCCTGCGCTACCCAACTTCTAAGAGTCGGATGCCAGTTTCTGCCCCGGCGTCGGGGAGGGGCGGGACATTGGGGGACTTGCCTCGTAAACCTGGCCGCGACACCGGGTGCAGAAGGGTAGGCGAGGCCGGCCGAGGTCTGGCACGGGGCCTCGGAGAAACTGGGGTGTCCAACTTCAACTGCTGCAGAAGTTCTGAGTCCTTTTCATAAATACAATAGAGTAAACATGACGTCCAGGTCATTGGGTTTCTGCCCAATCTCTCCGGTTTTAAAAGGAAAAAGTGTGGGGCTGAGGGAGCAGCTCAGTGGTACGGCCTTTGCCTAGCATGTGTGAGGCCCGGGTTTCCAGCCCTAGGACTGGGAGTGGGTAGAAATGTCGCCTGTGTAAGATCTTTAGTTCTAGAAAAAGTAAAAACCCCTTCCCAATAATTTGGGATTTTGTCAAGCTAGTTCCTATGCCTAGCAGAGTAAGAAATCTGCCTCTGATGTTCCAAAGATATTTCCACAGCTGGGCTCCACAGGGGGCACTCGAGTTGTGCCTCTCAAGAGAACAATTAATACGCAGAGGGATGATCAACTAATTGTCCCTCGCCCCAGCAGCGTTGCTGCCTTGGGGAGCCAACCTGTCAAACTGAGGACTTACTGGGAAAAGGTTAGGGAACAACATGAAGTTGGGAGTTGCAAGTTCACAGGGGTTGGAGGTTGGGGACCTGTAGCGTCAGTCCCTGGTCCCTTCTGGATTTGCTTGACTAACAGGGTACGACCATTGTGAGAGAAGCTGGATCTTAGGTGTCCTAGGGTGGTATGAATTCGGGAAGAGAAGGGTGCATGGTAGCCTTTACTCCCTGATGTAGACACCACAGGAAGTGGTGTAGGGTTCTCCTGAGTCCGGAAGAATACAGGGGGCATCTCCTAGGACTTGCAGGGATGGAGGATTGTTCTGGGGCTGGAGAACCCCAAGAGTGAACCTGGCACAGAGCACGATCCCCGTAGCTCTGACCTGGCCTTGGCAAAACCAACTGTTCAGGAAAATTGAAAATGAGCTGGTTCAGCATCACGGGAAGGAACATCATTTCTTCTTGAGACTCTCCTTCCCCACCTGATAAAAGGTCTTCCGAACTTGCCAGAAAGTTGGGCAGAGGTAAATGACAAGGCCATTCCAAAAAGAGGAAGAAAGTCAAAAACCACAGACCAGGGAACTTGACATTGGGCCTGGGAACTACTCAGAAGAAATGACTCACGAAAAATATTTGTGACCCTCTGAAGAGAAAGACACAGACCACACTGTGCTCAGTGAATCTCACTTCCTGCTGTGAAGTCTACCAAGGAGGAAATGTGGGAATACTGGCTATGGATCTGAAGACACCAGAATTCTTTCAACTATGTGGCAGAAACTCAAGCCGGGCGTGGTGGTGCATGCCAGTAATCCTAGCACTCGGGAGACTGAGGCAGGTGGATCATTTCGAGTTAAGAGACCAGCCTGGGCTACAAAGTGAGCTCAAGGCCAGCCTGAACTGCATAGGGAAACCGTGTCTCAAAAAGACAAAGGAGAAAAAACAGTATGTTGGTTCACATAACTGGAAAGTTCTGGGGCTGGCCCAGCAGGACCCAGAGGTACAAATGTCACCACCAGAACTTGTCTCTTCCCCCTTCTACTCCTTACCTAAGAGCTGGCCTCAAACAGCTTCAGGCTTGTATTGTCTCAACAGATCCAGTAAGAAAAAAAGGTTCCATCTTTCAGTTCTTCCATCAAAAGTCCCAGAACTCAAAGTGGGGCCTAGTGTGCATTTCTGGAATCCCCCTACTTGGGAAGCTGAGGCAGGAGGGTCAAAGGTTCCAGGCCAACCTGGGCAACTTGGAATGACCTTGTCTCAAATTATTTTTTTGTGGAGCCAGGAAATGAACTCAGGACCTTGTGCTTGCTAGGCAGGCGCTGTGCGGCTGAGTATATCCCCAGCCCTTCAATTTTTTTTAAAAAGTGCTGGGGTTTTAGCTTAGTGGTAGAATGCTTGCCTAGCATGCACAAAGGGCCTGAGTTCAACCCTCAGCAGTGAAAACAAGAGAAAAAAAAAAAAGTGCCAGGATTTGCTCCAAATGGATGAAATTTACCTCTTGAACCCATCTCTGATTGGATAAATAGATGGGTCAGATGGGGACATGGGTGAGGTCAGCCCCACCCATACTGCTTGGAGGGCGCCCCCCTCCCCTGCCCAGGAAACCAAGTGCTCCTGCCAGTTGAAAGGGTGGTAGGAGGTGGAGTTCTGGGCATGCAGGAAAAAACAACAGATATCTAGGAAATTGCTAAAGTGTCCCAATGTCCTGTGTGAACTACATGAAAAGAAATCATAAATCACTGGATGGTCAAGTGAATATTCAAAGCTGGGAAACAATGGTGGCACACGCCTTTAATCCCAGTGCTCGGGAGGCTGAGGCAGGAGGGTTGTTGTAAGTTGGAGGCCAGCCTGGGCTACAAAGTGAGCTCCAGTCCAGCCTGAACTGCATAGCGAGATCCTGTCTCAAAAACAAACAAATCAACTGAGTATTCAAAAATACTCTGAAGACGGCTCACTTGATTTTTGACAATCCTTAGGCTGTAACTACTTGTTAGATCCTTCTTGCGTATCTCTGTCTTCCAGAGAAACCACTTCGAAAATACCACCATGTATTACAGCAGTCACTGATATTTTCCTACTAATCTATCCATAACTCTGTAATGTTTGTATTGTTCCTATCCTGTTTCATAAATGGATGCATGTTTATTTAAAAAAAAAATACTTTGAATCCTGGGTGAGTCAAAAAAGCAATTACACAAGATCTCATCAGTTCTGTTTCTGTTTGGCCACCAGCCCCCCCCCACTTTTTTTTAAAGGTTTAGTGGGGAATAGGAATGGCTCCTGGGAGATAGGAGGGACCCCAAAAGTGGGTGGCCCTCCCCTGGTTTGTAAACAGGCACTACAGACTGAGTGGCTTACACAACACAAATGTGCTTTCTTACTGCTGTGGAGGTCAAGCCCCCAAGGCGGGGTGCCGGCAGGGCTGGTTCTGTGGGAGGGCTGAGGAGAACCCCGCCCCCCGACAGTGATGTTCACGGAGCACACAGGCTGGGACGCCTCTCCATTTGGGTCTCTCTGGTGGGCCTCTCGGAGCCAGAGCCAGGCAGCACGTTTTGGCAGTGGTGTAGCACGAAGGATGCGTCCCTACTGGGACAGGGCATCGGGCATGTCCCAGTTGTCCCCTTGCTGGTGGCATGCTCTCTGCCCAGTGGGGAAAGTGGTGCCGTGTTTGTTCCTTGCAAAGGAGCAGTAATCTGTGGGACGATGCGGGCGGGGACTCGGACCCCGTTTCCCAGTGGACCTCTCCCAGTCCTGTAGCATCCAGTCACCAGGGCTCTGTGGTGGCTGCCAAATGCTGGGTTTTTTTCATTCTGTTTTTTGTGTGGGGAATCGAACTCAGCACCTTGTGCTTGCCAGGCAGGTGCTGTGCCGCTGAGCTACATCCCGGGTCCCAAACACTGGGTTTTTTGGTTGGTTTTCCAAATGCTGTTTTCTAATCCTGCTGTTCCACCTCCACTTGGAACTTGACATTTCCCTGGGTCTACCCGTGTTCCTGTCTCCCCTCCACAGAGCAGCTGGAGTGACCTGCAGAAGCCACAACTATGACCACAGTGGTTCTTCTTTGCCCCCAAGTGGGCCCAGCTGCTTTCCCTGGTCACCAGGGCCCTGCAAGACCTGGCCCTTCCCCGCCCTCCAGCCCCACCCGACGCCACTCCTTGCCCTCCCAAGACAGTAAACCAGCAACGGGCCTTCCTTCCTTAAGGGCCCCCACCCCTCTCCCGAACCCCTTCTGCCTCGGCCCCCACTTCTGCTTTGCAAATACCCACCTCCTTCACCTACCACATCCCAAAGGAAGCCTTGTGCACAGCCCTAGTCCAGGTCAGAGTCCCAAGGATACCATCACAGGGCACCCTGTCCTCGTCCTTTACAGGAATGCGGTTTGTCATCGTGTGTGTCCCTGGGTAGTGATACCGTATGCTGCATGCCACACACAGCTTCGCCTGGTTCTACTCACAGCTGGCCCGCATTAAACGTGTTGAATGAGTGAATGTGAGTTTAAGCCGAGGCTGCTGGGAACCGGAAGAGGCTGGCTTGCGGTTGTCTGAGTGCAGATGTCAGGGCCGTGCTTCTGGCTGGGTGACTCAGGGGATGGTCATGGTTCTGGCTTGTGGGAAACCACATCAAAGGCCAGGACTCGGCACGAGCTATGACCTCTGGCTCCTTGGGATGGGGTTGGAGAGGCACAGCAGAGGAGGAGGAGCCCTTGTGGCCAGGCAGAGCAGGGCAAGCTTTGTACTTCACTTAGGCCACACTTTGCTCAGCTGCCCGGAGACAGAATACCTAACTCGCAGGGAGCAGGTGGCCTTGGCTAAGGACAGCAAGACAGGTAAGGGTCTGGATCTTAGCTGTGTGACCTGGAGCACACTGCTCAACCTCTCTGGGCCTGCTTGTTGGTAAAAGGACCAACTGTTGTAAGTTCATACAGTCTTTCAGTGCCTAGCTATTGAGGGCCTGCATCTGACAGGTGCAGGGAGATGAGTGAACAAGACCACCCTGCTGGCCTTGTACCAATGTGCGGCTTGCATCCCAGGAAGGAAAAGGCAGCAGTGTAAGGGAAGGAACCGTCACAGGAGTGGGAAGGAAGGGGAAGAAGGGTGAGAGGGAGGAAGGCCCCCGAGTCCGGTCCTGTAGGGACCTGACTCCCGGGGCTCTGCAGGGCTGGGAGTGCCAGGTGTGGGCCCAGCAGGCCCTGGCACATTCAGGAAGCACCACACCCCTTGGCTGGCACTTTCTGGGCCTCGCCCGACTCCTGGGGTGTGGAGGCCCCATTATCCGGCCTTCCTGATCTGGCCAGCAGTTGACAAATTCAACACCACAAACTGGGTGGAATATTAAGAAACAACCCGGAACAAACCCGTGACGTTGCCCTGCCAAGCTCTGGATCGCTTGCTCCCCAGCACTTACTACAAGTAGACAACGGAATCTCAGGGGTACGTGGCAGGATGCCTGTCGCCAAGCCCAGACCTGTACCCTCAGCTCCCACCCGCCTCCCTCCCTGCACTGCCTGACAGCAGCAGCCTACTGGAGATCAGCTGCCGCTGTTTTTGCTCCTGGAGTACTCGGCAGGCACGCTCTGCTGTCTTCTCTCTCGTATTCAGCATGACCCTTGCATGTCCGCCATACCCGTTTGTGCTCTCCTCTTCGTGGCTGTGTAGACTGGACCATGGCTACAGGACTAGACCATGATTCATTCATTCTGTAGTTCATGGACATTCAGAGTATTTCTGCTTAGGGCTATTGTGAATAGTGCTGTGTGAACACCACAGTGTGGCTTTCGGAGAGTGTACATGTGCAGGTGTTCGGTTTTAGCAGACGCTCCTGCCAGTTGTCTGAGGCGTTTGACAGTCACATTCCCGCCGGCAAGGTGTAGAAGCTGCAGTCGCTCTGCGTGTGTGGACACTTGGTGCTTCTGGTGGTCCCATGCTAGTGGCCTGTGATTAGTCCTGCGCTGTGCTTTCCGTCTGCATTTCCTTGATGACTACTGAAAATGACCATTCTCTCCTGTGGTTTGGATGTTCTCTTTTGTAAAGGACCCACTCAACTGCTTTGCTAATTATTTATTGGGTTTCTCATTTTTTTTTCCCCAGTACTGGGAATCGAACTCACGACCTTGTGCTTGCCAGGCGGGTGCTGTGCCGCTGAGCTAAATCCCCAGCCCCTATTTTTAATTATAGTATTTATTTAAAAGTGTGCTGGGGGTTAGGGAGGTAGCTCCCTGTGGAGTGTATGTTTAGCTAGTGTAAGGCTCATACCTTTCTCCACCAAAAAAAGTAGACACGGTCATGCATAATCATGTTTTAAAGAATTAACAAGTTATAGACCTATTTCTTGCTATGTAGTTTTTCCTGGCCATGAGCTTACTATGTAGCCAGTCCAGGCTGGGCCTTGAACTTGCATCGATCCTCCTGCCTCAGCCTCCCAAGTGCTGAGATTAGAGGTGTGTGCCACCATACCTGACTTCAGACTTACTATATATATTTTTCCATAGATGTTCTGTGTATGTATAGCATATATGTCCCGCAACTCTTCTTTTTTAGTTTTATAAAATAGACTTATATGCACCTGGAAGACCATAGATATCTGTTGGTTTACATTCCGTTTCTGTCCAGGGTGACAGGTCCCGGGAACGAGGTGCAGTGGATGAAAAGAAAAGCAAGAGAAAAAAGAAAAACAAGACAGGCATAATTCTGGGATCAGAGGCCTTGCAGCCTCCATTACCAATTTCAGTAACCTTTTATTGAGAAAGAACAAAGGAAGCCGCTGGGCAAATGGGGGGATATCAACTGTTTTAGCAAGGACAATACAACTCAATTATCATAGGAATGAGACTTGACTTAGTTGGTCATCATGTTATCATTCCTTTGGGCATATCTCAGCAAAGCATTTATTTCCACAAGGACAAAGGTTCTGCAATATTTCCTTTCCACCAATGCTTTTGCTATACTTCCTCCAGAACCAAACAATCGCATGGCTAGGTCAGGCCTGAGGCAATACATTGAAAGAGTAACTAAAGAACGTCCTTCTTCATGGATAGCCATTCATAAAAACCTGATTCTCTTCTTACAATTGCACAACACATTGTATTTGACAGATGATGAGCAGACCTTTGGCTTCTGCAAATGCACTACTGTTGGAGACCACTATGAAGCAGCCCCAAGCAGGACTTAAATTAACCCATCGGCTTTTTATGTTTACTTGTGAATCTGTCCAAAGCTAGGCTGCTTGTCTGGAAGTGGGCAATGGACTCACAGTAAGTGAACCTCTGTCAATAATTAATCCCTACTAAAACCTGTAATGGTGAATGAAGCTGGAAAGCCTCAAAGGATAAGGCAAGCCAAAGACACCTGGATCCGATCTCAACTAGATAAAGACTATAGCCTCAGGCATCTCACTCTTGGGTGGCTTAACTTAATCCTTATTAAGGATTAATTTAATACCTTACTTGGAGAAGTCCTTGAGTAATGCCACCCTTCTTGAGTACACCCCTTCCTTCTTTTGATAACTAAATAGATACAGGCTACCCAGAGAAGGTCAGGGTCTTAGGCCTGAGAGAATCTCAAATTCTGTGAGAGGGCTTTGATCCTCCTGGAGCCTTGAAATCATTCCATTTGCTTCTTTTTATTTAGCCTTCACCATACACTCATTTGGGAGATTGTGGACCTGATCAGCCTGCAATAACTAAGGGATATTATTAACCTGATACACTATGGCATACACTCAGGCTAGGACATCGATGTGCACCAGGGTGGGTCACCCTGTAGGAACTGCCAGCTTGCACCAGGTGTGGTGGCGCACGCCTGTAATCCTGCACTCGGGAGGCTGAGTCAGGAGGATTGCTGCGAGTTCGAGACCAGCCTGGGATACAAAGTAAGCTCAAGGCTAGCCTGAACTGCATAGTGAAACCCTCCCTCAAAAAAACAAGGAACTTCCAGGTCAAAGGGCACGTGCGCTTATACTTCTGTGACTAGTACCCCCAACCTGCTCTGTAAAGGGTTGAAGGCGGTGGTAATCATATTGGTTCCATCTGCCTTGCCAACACAGGCGTGACTAAACTTATCTCTGCCAGAGACTCGTAGGTGAAAGAAGGATGCTCTGTGCTGGGTTTACACTGGCCCCTGGCACCTTTCATTATTTTTTGGTACTGGGAATTGAACTCAGGACCTCACACTTGCCAGGCAGGCACTGTGCTCCTGAGCTAAATCCCCGGCCCTCTGCCACCTTTCTGAGTGGAGCCTCCTTCCTGCACAGCAGCTGGAGGGGGAGTGCCAGACAGGTGAGCAGAGCGCGCCTGGAGAAGCACACCCGCTGTCCTCAGTGAAATCAGGAAGAGGCTAGACACATGCTGAACCACAGTCCTAAAACAGGAAGCAACCTTAGAAATCAGATCTAATCTCCCATGTGAAGGGGTTTTGCTTTGTTTTGAAAGTGGAGGCTGAGAGGGGAAACGACTGGCAGAAGATCACGTATCAGCTCTGTTGAGAAAGACGCAGAAGCCTGGGGAAAAGCGAGACTGCTTTTGTCAACTGGTGCCAGCCCCATTTACTTAATGAACAATTTTACTGCGCTATTTTCTTCCTCGAGGGTGCAATTTTAAAGTTACAGTTAGAAAGCTATACTAGCAACTGCACTGTGCACCTACTGTGTGCAGGGATCTGTTTACTGGTCAAGATGCAAAGGGGAAGTGGCAGCTTGCAGAGCCTGATGAGTGGAAACATCTATAAGAACTCACACTTGCTTTGATGCAAACTTCAGAGGTCACCTCTATTCTGCAGCTGGCATTAATTGCTCCTTATTTTGTGTCCTCAAAACAAAATAAAGGCTTGGTTTATGCTTCTGTTAAAAAATAAAAAGCTGGCTGGGCATAATGGTGCATGCCTGTAATCCCAGCACTCAGGAGGCTGAGGCAGGATTGTTGCAAGTTCAAGACCAGCCTGGGCTACAAAGTGAGCTCAAGCCCAGCCTGAACTGCATAGCGAGACCCTGTCCCAAAAAGCCAAAAACAATAAAAAGCTGTATTAGTAACTAAGAACATGGGCAATTTGAACAAGTGTGGGGCCTGATGAGAGAAAAATTCTGAAGTGTTGTTACAGCTTGTGTCCGGATGTCCCCCAAAAGCCTCATGAGGTCATAGGTGGTTCTCAGAAGTGGCTGAATCTACAGTGTGTGATGCTGGGATTAAGGTGTGTGATTGGTAAATCAGTTCACTTTCTGGCTTGGCATAGTTCAGGCTAGGATTAAGGGTGTGAGTGCTATACCCATCCTAGGGCGGGTAGCTGCATTTAATATAAGGGGCAGAGAGTCTTGTCTTTCTCTCTCGTTGCTTTTGCTATCTTGTGGTTGCCATGAACTGTTCTCCTCTGCGATGCCTTTCTGCCAGGTGCCACTCTGTTTTGGAACCAGCCAACTGTGGCCTGAAACCTCTACAAAGTGTGAGCTAAATAAGCCTTGAACTCTGGGCGTGGAGTATTTTGTCTCAGCAATGAGAAAAATAAACTAAGACAGGCAGTAACCTGGATGACAGGGGGCTGGCCATGGGCATGTAGCAGAAGAAAAGTAAAGACAGGTGTCCTTAAGTTTAATTAGAAGGTTAGAAGGGAAGAGAGATTTAGTTTAGAGTTTAGTTAACAGCACAAAAGACCGCTTGCTATTCCTGAATGTATGCTACAACCTGCTTCCACCTGAACCAGACCCTGGTGGCAGGTACTTACGACGGCGCTCCTCTGCCCAGACTCGAGAGCGCTTCTCTGGCCCTCTTCTCTAGCCAGGGTGCGTTCAATGTAAACAACTTAGGCTCTCCTTCCTCAAATTTTCTCTAGAAAAATACTCGGGCCAGGAATGGTGGCTTGTGCCTATAGTCCCAGCTATTCATGAGGCTGAAGCAGGAGGAGCACTTGTTCCCATGATTTTGAGGCCAGCTTGGGCAACACAGTGAGACTGTGTCCAAAAAAACCAACTTACTCTTAGCTCTAGCCCAGCAGACATTCCCTCACCTGCTCTTTGGCCTCGGTGCTGGAAGCTGTGGGCGCCTGTCCTAGGCCCTGGTCCTTTTCTGCCAGGCGTCTATAAGGGCTCCATGTCCCCTCCTATTTCAGAGATGCCAGGGTCTCAAGAGTTTGGTTTAACAGCACAGAGAAGAATTATGGGCTGAGGATCCCCCTACTTGTCAATTATTCTGAAACACCTTGAAATGGGTTAAGAGATTATTGGGTGTACAAAGGAGGGGGAAATCCTTTTCCCTTTATTCTCCTAAGTTCCAGGCTGGGACCCCTGTTAACACATTAACAGGAGAAAAAGTGACTTTTCTTTACTTGTACATGTCCACACATGTGGGAGAAACTCAGGGAAGAAACTGGAGAAGGCGGCATGGAATTCAGGATTATCCAGCACCCTCAACAAAGAACACGAAAGCTGGAGTGACAAAGGAAAGTGGTTTCTGGCTTCCAAGGGAAGGCTTAGGTACAGGAGGGCACTCCCAGGAGAGCCGCGCCTGCTCAGAAGTGTGTAGTCTGGGCTCCGGAAAAGGAAACGCTGACCTGCTTTTGCTGCTGCTTAGTTACCTTCAGCTCAAAATAACGTTGAAGTCAGAAGCATGTTTTGGGATGACACCTTCTAGCTTCCTTGAGTTATCTTCATGAGCAAGTAGGCATGGCCTGGAAACAACCCCTTGCGACGGCTTCTCTGTAGCCTTTTCGCCTGTAAGCTACCCGTGACCACAGTTATCAAGAACTGACAGCAATGCAAATGATTCTTGTCCCCAGACTTTAGCCATACAAATGCCTCTAGCCTGGTGCAAGTTCAGGTGACCCCCTCCTCCCAAGGAAGTGCCAGTTTTGCATTTATTAAGCAAAGTACCTCAGCATTCCTGACTGCCTGTATATATTTCTGCCTTTTGGATTCATCTCTGAACCACCTGTGGCATCTTATACACGCCTAATGAGCAGGTTAAAGTCAGTCTTTGGAGTGTTCATTTTATATTTGTACGGGAGACAATAATTTTGCTTTTTATTGAAAGATGCTTTTAATAATGCTCTTTGCAGTCTTGAAGTCGTACAAAGACAAGCGTGCTTTCTTTTAATATATTTGCAAGGAAATGACAGCTGACTGGGGTCTGTCATGTTCTTCAGGACCTCTTTATGTAGTTCAGGCTGGCCTGGAACTGGCAATCCTGCCTCACTCTCCCAGCTGCTGGAATAATAGGTGTGCGCCGCCATGCCCAGTGAGGCCTACCTTCTTATGGAATTAAAAGTAGCAAGAGATACCAAGCCCAACGTGGGCTGCCTGAACCCACAGCAGCATTCTGAACATAACAGATGTACAGGATACATCTACAAAATTTTGAACTTTTTTTTTTTTTTCCGGTACCGGGAATCGAACTCACGACCTTGCGTTTGCCAGGCAGGCGCTGTGCCGCTGAGCTAAATCCCCAGCCCCAATCTACAAAATTTTAAAACAGTTACACCTGCAGTTATGATAAACGAATGCACCCCTTACTTCCCAAAGTCCAGCTGGAGTAAGAATTTCCGGAAGCGAGGGCGGATACAAGGCGAGCGCTGTGCAGACGGGCGGCAGGGCTGTAGTCTCGATGGCCTCCGAGGACCGGAGCAGATGGGGGTGCAGTTAGGCTGGAACCCCGCACACTAAGCCAGCACTGCTTCCGGCCCCAGGAAGCTGTCCCCAAATGAGGAGGAAACCAGGCGCGTGTTTCTGTGTTACACACCCAGCACTCATCTGGAAGGCTCAAGGCGAGCCCTTCGCATCCAGATTTCTCGAAGGCGCCGGAGGAACACGAGGGCTTCCCCCGTCCCGGACGCTTCCCCGCGCCCCGAGGCCTTCTGGCTGTCGTTTCCAGTGGCGCTCTCACGCTCCCTCGTCTGCGCAGTCCTTGTTCCTGTGTTCTGTACCGACCACACCTAAAGACGGCCGCCGCCGCCGGGCTCGTCCTCGCCGCGGAAGGGTTCTGCGACCCTTTGCGCCCTGAAGGCGCGACTTGGACCTTGCGGCAGCCCGTAGCCCCCATGCTTCCTTTCCCCGACCTCCATGTACGCAGAACTCTTGATTCCAGCGAGAGGTCTTGTAACTAGTAGCTGCCTTTTCTCAAGGGGCTGACAGTCCTTAAAGCCCTCTGTCCAGCGGAACCTGGCCTCCTCTTCCCCCAGGAACCCCAACCAACTTTCTCCGAGCCTCCGCGTGGCGCGGCCGGAAGTGCGCACACGGCGCCGTGACCTCGCCGGTGCACTTCCGGGGTCGCGCCGCCGCGCTCTTCGGCCGGGCTCTCCGTTCCCGCGACTGCTCGGCGGCCGACTCCCTGCGACCGGCCGGGTGGGACCGAGCCGAGCCG